ATCATTTGCCACAGCGGCTAGTCGGAGTGGCTGCCGTGATGCGCGAGACATCGAAGAAACGCGTCATATGCGTCCCTTTCTTGCCCTTTACAATAATATTGGAAAATTCCATGCGGTAACTACTTACGATTGATTCAGTTTGAAAGGGAATCGAAATAATGATAAGGCCTGGTTTCCATCAATGTAGGGGATCAATCGTCGGCTGGACTTATCGGTTTATCTTTTTCCAATTCTAAGAGTTTCCACCAATGTAGATTAACTTCAATTAGTGAGCTCTTAATTTTTAGTTCTTGGAATTGGAAAAGGATGAAGTTGAACGGAGATGAAAATTAAGCTACACCACAGAAAAATGGTCTGGTTGGATGAAACAGTAGCTTTGGTGGAAAAATGGACGAAATCAGGATTATCTGGTTAAATCTATTAGAATTCTAGTAGATTTTATCATAAATATTGCATCAAACAGAATTCCGGTTGTCTCAACTAGAATTCTAATAAATTTAACCACAAAATTCTGATTCGTTCATTTTCAACCAGAAGTTGTTTTCAGTGTACATTGGTACAAACATGGGCACAGAAGAGTTAGAAAAAGAGTAAATTGAACCGAGATTAAAGTTGATCTTACTTATTGGCAGAACAGGGATGTAAAACGTATGAAAACAAAGGCAAATTCTTGTCCCTAATGGAAAATCGGCCCGTTTGATGAACGATCCATCAAAGATACACGGATAATAATATATTATCGTCTTCTTCCTCTCTCCCCTTTTCCAAGAAGGAACGAGCAATATTCGTAATAAGAAAGAGGATGAGAGCTTATAAGAAGGAAGGAAGGAAGGCACGATTATCTAGAATAAGACATTTAATAATGAATACACCCACCGGCTCGATTCGCATCGGTAGCGCCCGGTAGTTGGACACGTAGATTGTAACGGAAGTACGAAGAGCAAAGTCGGCGGTCGTGATCGGAATGTTGTTCCTTCGGTATCTACCTTCGCTTCGGCGGCGGAATCATCGATGTCGAACGAACATTGTCCGTTAAAAAAAAAAAAGAAACATAAATAACGAGGAACGCGCGTGCGCGATGTACTTTCCCGTTTTTCTCGATCCAGTTAATTTGTACACCTGACGACGTTGCGAATTTGTAGACACGAAATATCATTTATACAGAAATTGAATCAATCGTAAATCGAGTCAGCTACCGCTTTGTGGCTACGAGACAAGATAAAAAAAAAAGTAGCAATCGCTTCATCATCAACAATTACGGCGTAGCAAACGTACTTGTTTCACAGTTCCGTTATCTGTGGTATAATAGTTGTACGAATATAATGGCTAGTAGATAACAAAACTATTTGTCACATACACATTTTTTTGTCTATTACATTTGATGCCATTACATATTTTCTACATACATATATTAATAAGTTATAATTTTGTTATCTGCTATTATAAAGAAACAATTTCTGTTAAATTTTCTTTGGTTTTTATTTATAATAGAAACTAGAGGAAATGAAAGAAAATTATCAAAAATAAAAAAAAGCGTACAAACTACACGCGTGAATGAAATAAAATATGTACTAAATAAAACAAATCGTAGTCGATCTTCTCGCGATACAAATTTCGCAAATACACTACTACATCCGGTCATCTTTATTAATATTCCAAAGCCAAAAAAACTATGAAGATTTCATACCTCGTGCAGCGCGTAGGTAGACTGACCCTCGACCTTACAGACTTTCGTCCTCGCGCCAGATTGAACGCGATCTCGACCTCGACCTCGACCTCGACCGCGATCTCTGATAGGAAAGAAGGAAGGTGTTACTTCTCGCGGTCCCTGCACGCCACTGACAAGAAGCCGGTAGACCAGTCGGCTCTAATCCACCAATCGTTCTCTCCGATTTCTCGTTGCTTCCCTGATTGCTTCAACCGATTTTCTCCCGAAAGGAAACCCTCTACGTACGTTCGCGCGCTACCGAATGTACGGTACACGAGGATCGTTTCGAGAATCGCCGGTGGCGGTGATTTTTTTGACAGGTACGATCACGCGACTTGGACTGGCAGACCCAAGATCGCGACCGAGCAAAAATTCTGTCTCGCACGTTCTCTAAGCGCACCCTCTCTTCCGCGTTCCTCAACTCTCTTCCGAGGCCGTGAACCGTACTGGTTTCGCGTGTCGTTATCGGTGTCGTTATCGTTGCTGCTATCGTTGCTGTCCGGTGTGCCGTCCGCTGCTCTCGGAGAGGCCGGTGTGGATGGAAGATAACCCGCGATGAGATTGTTTCGGGGTTTGAGCCCGACTGCGGCCTCGCGTAGGACGCTACGTGCCTATGAGTCCCCGCTAGTCCCACTTACCAACCAACCAGAAACTGCTCGGGTATACTCGGAATCCTAAGCTGCATCTCCGCCAATCCACCTTCCACTCTTCTTCCCTCCGTCGCCTCCCCTCGCGCCGCGCTCGCCTCGGTTCCGCGCTCGTCCGGGATTGTACTTGTGCTTTTCGTCTTTCGGGCCCCGCCAGAAAGCTGTCGATGAAAGACACGGGCGAGTTCAGCGGGCTGAAACCGGTCGTTTCTGGACCGCCAAGTGCCTCTTAATCAACCGTGAAGAAGATTTCGCAGACCATTAATTGATATTGGTGACAAGTTATGAGGAGAGAAGTCTGCCTATCTTTGCCTTCTCTCTCCCTCTCTCCCCCTCTCTCTCTCTCTCTCTCTCTCTCTCTCTCTATTTCTTTCGTTCTTTTGCATAATTGGAAATCATGAGAGATATTTATAAGATAGGATACTGCTGTTTGAAGTAGCCATCGCTGTTCGCCGCTTTGATCTTAAGAATATTACTTTGAGATCTAATAGACCTCGACTGAACTCCCACGTATATCTTCACCTTTCGAATAGAGAGAAATTTCCATGCGCCGCCTAAAGCTATAAACTTTCTGCTCATTTTCTGCTCATTTCTGTATAAGACTTATAGTCTGTTAAATTGATTTATATATATTTGTGGATGAAAACTAACAATTATGTCGGTAATGAAATTGCAGAAAATACATAGACAAAGATTTATCTTCTTCTTCTTCTTCTTCTTCTTCTTCTTCTTCTTTCCTATTTTTCTTATTTAGTAAACCTTCCAAGAAAACGCAGAAGCAAGTGTTACGGTGGATTCACTCGACTTAATTAGCAGATAAACATAAATCGCGAATTATTTTAGAAAGTTCAAATCTGCAGAGAGGTGCAGTCTGTAGATGCGTCAAACTGTGTTTCCTCTTTATAAGTCCAACACATCGATAATGATTTTTGTAAATCGTACGAGAGAGAGAGAGAGAGAGAGAGAGAGGGAGAAAGCTCTCCATTATTATACTCTGCGGCCGTCTATAGGCTCTTACTTTATCACGATTTTTCCATCGTGGACACGGTTTTTCCATCCTGGGCACGATGTCGAGTAACACGTTTGGGGCACAGCGCGGCCTTTCTCCAAAGATCGAACGCGTATTCTTCCCGACCGCGCGATTCATCTCGGTGAAAGTCTGCGGCTATCTGTTAGGCATAAGATTTGACGTGGACGCTAATCATTGTCTGCGGTGCGCAACAACCGCTCGGCCATAGTTCGCGTGTTTTTCTTCGCCGCGAAGCAGCGTGGAGAGAACGTCGGAGATTCAGCGTCGATATCGACGACTTCATCGGGAACGCAACCTCCAGCTGACCATTAAGAATCGGAAAAACTGACCCGCTCTTTATGCCAGTAGGTTTTTGTGCTTGAAACGAGGCGAATGCAGTTCGCGTCTTCGGGAAGAAAGGAACAAATAACGCGTAGTAAAAAAGTATTGGAGAAGTGTGTCGGAAAAGATGTACGGTTCCGCGAGAAATGTCGAATCATTGGCTGTGTTCCCCGGGCATGGCCCGAGAATTTGCACGATGATTTTTGCGAGGATGTTCGTGACTAACAGAAATATCCAGCGTCCATAAGACGAAAGCGTTATGAAAACATGCGGTGCTCGAATACATTTTCACCGAAGAAGAACCCTTCATATTCATGAGAGAATTCGCTTTCTAAGCTCTCCATGCATTGGATGCGCAGCTTTTACAGCAATTATTGTTGCGAACGAATAAATGATGAATAATTGAGCATCTATCGAATAATTCATAGAAATAATTCATAGAAATGTGGAAACTTGATTAATTATCCGGCAAAAACTCTTCATTTCCATTCACTAGTTTAATTAATATTTATTTATTTTAATCTTTATTTTAATGTTTATTTTTACCAACTTTTTATAATCGTTTTAATCACGCGATCTCGTTTATTATTGTATTCTTAATTCTTCTCGGAATAGAAAATGAATTCATGAATATTTTTATTACTAACGACATTATTAACGTTTTATTATATTTTATTAAATTATTAATTATTTTTATGTCATTTATTTATATTACGATCTTTTTTGTTTTTATTTTCATTTCTATTTTCAATCAATCTAATTACTTGTTTCACACCGAGGATGACTTGATCAAGGTTGAAACGTATGTATGCTTTAATATTTATATCGATTTGATAAATATTAAAAATAGATTAATTATCAACACCTAATAATTAGCGTTGACTCGCATAGCCTTTCTTTTCTGGCAATTTTATTTTAATGTATTTTAATTCGTTTTTAATATTTATCTTAATAGTTTATGTCGTAATATATAAGTACCTATAATATAATAATATCCGCAATTTATTCAATGATCGTTTTTTGTCTGCAACATTCACTTTTTTACTGATATATATTATTTATTTGTTTAAGCAAACAGCCTTTCGAAATTAAAAACTTAACCCTTAACGAATTATCATGGAAACAACATATTGGCATGCCTGACTTAATTCAGTTGCTTATAACTTTCATCAAAATATTGTAAAATTAATCACAATATTAATACATTAATATTGTGATGATTAATCACTAAACCGATGGTTTTGTAGCTCAACTTTTACTGAGATTAAATCCAAACTAAAAGTTAATTAGAAAATCGCGGACCCAAAAAGCATAACGTTACTATATATTATTGTATACCTATTAATAAACGAGTTACAAGCGATAGAGAAAGCATTGGGGAAAAAAGTCAGGTACGCCATACCAAAGAGGGGCGTTCAGAGATTAATTTGATTTAAATTAATTTTTTGATCGGCTGTTCAAATAACACCTTCGGCGCGATTGCGAACTGAAGAGAACTCTGGTTAAGACAACGCGGCGGTAACGGTGCCGTGCAGATGGTAACATGCAAGAGTGGAGCATCCGCGAGCCGCGGGTGATGGACCGTGACGTTCTCACAGATAACTCACAGCTTCCGACGTCCTTCTCGCGTTCTGTCTACGTTCGAGTTATCCGAGGAATAACTCGGCGGAAGAGCAGCGGTTCCTTTTGTGCCCCCCTCCCCGCCCCCTCTTCCTCGCGAGGAGGAGTCACATAAGATTCGATTTTGAATTTGATACACGTCCTTCTGACGTGAAATATCAGAAAGTCACTTTTCCCGAGGAGGGAAAAGATGGTACGGATAGAAAATAATATTGAGAGCCGGTAATGCGTTTACAGCGATATTGTGAATTTTGTTTGCGTATCGAGAAAAATTTCTTGTTCCACTTGCAGAGCACTGTACGTCTGTACGATGAGAAAGAAAGACGGCTAAAATGATATTTAAAATGATATTTAAAAAATTCCGATTTTGTTTTAGTTTTATTTCCGTTTAATTTGTGACATATGGCGGCAAAGAATTTGACATTTCCAGACAACGTTGTGCACCGTTTATTGTATTTTTACGTAATGATCAAGTTGATTAAAGTAGTAAATTAGTGAATTTTGATAGATAAAATTATGTGAACATTGGTTTTCAATTAAATTATGTAAGAATTAGTTTTTAATTAAATTATTATCACTACAACTAGAAATATCTCGCTAAAATCTACGTATTGTTTAACTTGCTGATATTACTACAGTGATATCTTCTTTATCGACTTGCGATAGATCGGTAGTTGTTTCGCGTATCCTTGACTCTTACCTGCATCCTCAACAATCTCGGAGATCGATAAATCGCTTCTTTATCACATTCTCGCATCGCAAAAATGCGTACATTTCTTGAACTGATTTCGAATTGACATTCACATCTCTGCATCGATTAGAAATTTTTCTTCCCAAAGAAAATTACACTACAAAGGATAAAAAATAACATTGTTATACACACACACACACACACACACACACACACACACACACACACATATATATATATATATATACTTTTTATTAAATTAAAGTAAAAGTAACAAATAACATCAAGAGAGTCTCTTCCAAATAGTCTTGCGATGCTACCATATACAATATACTCCCCGAATGAGACACTTTCGGAAGACCAGAGATGAATATATATATATACAAATTTAAAACGACTGTGATGACATAGCTGCGACGTCTGCAATATTCTACGAAACGGTATAAAAAGAAAAAAACGGTAGCACTAAGAGAGAAAAAGACTCACGAGACTGATATGACCGAGGGGCATGATAACTGGAGAGACCCGTGTTACATTGCGGGGGATGCGAGGCGATCGTTTCGAAACGTACTGTACAAAACTTGTAGGCGGGCATGATTCTCTTATCTCTATATATTCTTCTGTACATTACTTTTTACACTTAACATTCGCCAACGCCGCTGGGGATTGTACATGGCACGGCATCACATGGCTGGTACAGCCGATCGATCGGCGCGTATGTTAATTTCCCGTTGTTCGCGATTCCTACGCGACACTTCCTGTCTACGGAGCGGACCGAGAGTGTACCACGCTTTCTTCGGGACGAAAAGAATAAAGGAAGAAAAAGAGGGGGGAAGAATTGCTAAAGGAAGAACGTTCGGATGGGCTCTCCTCGAGAGAGAGAGATCATCCGAACGTGCTCGTCGGGAATCGATCGGGGATTGGAAGCCGCCTCTGCGATTTTACGGGAACGTTTCGACAATCGGCAGGTAACGAACGGCCAGTCGTTGCGCGCTCGAAAGGATAGAGACCTAACTCGGCCGTGGTAACGCCGGGGAACCAATCGTCTTTCTTTCTACGGGGACGTGTATATGATAAAGGTAAGGAGTAGTCCATTAAAGTAAAGTGTAGTCCTTGGATTTTCATTTGGCAGACATCCTGGACCCGTCGCTGCAGCGGGAGAGGCCGTTCCTAACGTTTCGCAGCGCGGCCTCTCTCAAATGCCGTAGGTCATTTTTTCGTAGCCGTGATACGGCACGCAGTAGCCGCTGTAAGTCTTGATCTCCAGGACACCGGCGTAGGATCGCGCCGGCGTGGAACCGGGATCCGTGTGCCTCCGCGGGCATCGGTGTCCACGAGGACACTGGCAGAGTGGCGAGGCGTTCACCTCCTCGAGCTGCGAGTTGCGTCTTTTGCGAACGGTGAACAGGCGGCAGGGCTCCTTGTGCTGGCAGCGTATTTTCTGCAAGATAAACAGCGAATTAATCCAAACCGTGCTACTTTTTTGTCTCAGCATTGCGCCACGAAAGGAGGAAATCTTAGTACCCGAAACACAATAGGCGTAACAATGAGGCCTTTAAGCCTTAAGAAGTTGACCAATCGCAGTCGAGTATTCTTCTCACATTCGACTGTGATTAATTCTCGAAGGTTTACGGCTTGCTACATCTATTGTGTTTTGGGGCTTGGGCTGCGTTTGATCTAAGCGCCTTCAACGCTTCTATCCGTCACGGAGAAAAATGAATAATCTTACAAGTACTATAATAAAAATATTCTTGCTATTTTCACGGGACTTGCGACAATTTTTTTACTCGCTGGAGAGAAATAGAAAGTATATTACGATTATATATCAATCCATTCGAATGATTACTTACGTAAAGTAAATGAGATACTATTTTCAAGAATAGAAGCACGACAATTCTCAAGATTTCGTACACTTGTATTTTTTTTTACTGCGCAATGAATTTTCTCAATATTTAAGCAAAAAATACCCGTTGATAAAGTAAATTCTATGGAGTAAATTTTATTGTATAGCAATTTGTAGAGTAAGAAATAGTCACAAATTGCACTAACATAAAATTTACTTTACAAAATGTAAAAACTTTTCAGTATGGCTATAGGATTGATTATTTATTTGCCAAAAAAGATAAAGTAAATTATATATATATATATATATATATAAATGGGCGCCTGTCCTTATATGAATCTTACCAATTTACCAATTCCACAAAGTTTACTGGAATCCTAGTACATATTACTTAACATTTTTCTCCGTGCAGCCCAAGTTCACGGTAAAATATAAGGATATCGATTTTAGTGAAACTTTGAAAATGACACGTCGAGATAAAGTCCCATGTTTTATTTCTGCATCGTTGACTTACGCTTTGCGGAGAACAGGCGAAGGCGTAGACGAAGCCATGATTTCCATCCGGCGATTTGTGAGGTTGTCTACGCACTAGGTATGGCACGCTGTTTGGTCGACATCGACAATAGACGCGTTGCACCGTCGCATTCGCCGGGCCACCTCCGGGTGCCAATGTCCACGTAATGTCCCTGTGGTTAAGTTAGGTGAAAAGTTAGGAACGCGAACTTTACAATTTAGTACGACTTAGTACCATTTTCATTCCGCGAGTGAGTGACTCGGATTCAACAGCGATTTTCTTTTTGCGCGGTTTCACGCGTTTTGAGAAGAAACATTTGTTTCAGTGAAAAATTGTACTCTCTAAAACTTTTACAGTGAGTTGCATCTTAAGAAGTGAAATCTCGCTCGCAAGGCGGTATTCGTAGTCCGTTCTTATTTTAAGACTATCTTAAGTAATGTCTTTTTACTGATACGGTCTGATTTATTCGTGACATTTGAAGACTACACTGTTAGAAATAAGATTT